AATTTTGTTTTTTATCTTCTAAAGAATGTTCAAGAAGAAGCTTTTGCAAAATTAATACTTTTGTTTTTTTGACTGCTCTTATAAATATGGTTTTTTTTTTGTTTTTCTTTTTTTTTTTATTTCTTCAGCTACTTCATTCTTTATCTAGGACACAACTTCAGGAAGAACAGGTAAACATGATACAAAATATTCGTATTGTAGAACATTTTGTACGCTGCATGTAGTTACATTTAGTTGCGAATGATTTTTTAAGTTATTTTCTATAGTAAAGAAATGATATAACGTTTTTTTAACAGTAGAATGCGTAGAAATATCCATTTGATATACTAAAAGTTTATTCTTCATTTTTTATATGTGTATATGCATTTTTTGCTTAGAAAATAAGTGATCAATAGATTTGCAATAATTTTTCATTTTTCTATCGAGAAATACAATCTGCACAATACCCTCTGTTACCATTTTATCACTGTTTTTTGCTCTTTATCTTTCTTGCTTATAATTGTATTATTTCTTCGCTATAAAATAACATAAATTTTAATTTATTTATTTTTTTTCTATCTATTTTTAGGAAAATATTTCTTCAAATAATGTGACAACTTCTGCATCATCAATTCAAGTTACTACCATAGAAAATCCCACATTATTATCCGATAATATACCGTTACCAACAGTCGAAATTCATTTGGCAGCTATCGATAATGGTCTAGCATTTCCATTTAAACATCCGGATGAATGGCGAGCATATCCATTTCATTGGGCATGGTTACCACAAGCTAAAAGACCATTTTCTGAAGAAACAAAACAATTGGTTTTAGAATTTTTATCGGATATGAATTTTGTTGAACGTGAATTATGTGATGAAATACAAGAATTATTTTTACGAGATAAAGATTCAGATTTTCGAATAATTGAACGACAATTAGCGGTTATGAGAGGACAAGTGAGTTAATCATCATTTCGGCTTGTCCAGTTAATTAACTGTCTCCTTTTTTTCGCTCTTTTT